CAATATGGTTCATGGGGTCACGAAGAGTCGGACACGACTTAATGACTAAACAACAACAGTGTCTCAGACATCAACAGTGAATTACTCCAAAAACTAATTTAAAGAGGTACATCTGAAAAAGACACTTCAGAATCAAGTGTGCAATGGAGTGTTATTTTATAAGAGAGATAACATCAAGGCAATATGCATTGAAAATGAAAATATTTAAGACATATGCATTTGACAAATAAGATTTCCAGGGATTAACATTAACATCGATATGCAGAAAGGGCAAGTGTAGAGAAGATGTACAAATGAGGGAAAGTTATGAAGAAAAACAGGTACAATTATGTTTTGATTACATACAGATTAGATTACTGCCATTCATGGTATCTAAGAAGATGTGTGTAATTAATATCATAGTTGTTTATATTTGATTTAAATTCATTTTCTACTCTCAGTTCATGATGGTTGCCATGACACTTTGACCCCTACCCTGTTTGGCATTAGAGCTTTTAATGGAACTCTTCTTGCTTGCTGAGATGTTCATGGAAAACTCTGCTTTGTGCCCTACGGCATGTGCAGAAAGGGGCTCAGGATATTGGTCCAGGGGTAGTACTTAGCTTTGGAAGCTCATATAGCCCTCCCTTCCACTTTGAACATCTGTAGACTTTTTATTGTGAGCAATTTCCCCAAAAAACATAATGTGTGGCTAACAGAGGAGAAGCAAAGAAGTAGAATATATGGTGGAAGCAATACTCACATCCTCTAAAGCACATGACAGTTGGTGATGATTATCCAATTTGCAGCATTCCTCAGCAGCGTGTGTCAATTCTTTTGTGAACTCAATCAGTTTTGAAGATGGCAGCTGAGGCATAATCTTGGTATACTTGACCAAGAGTCTGCAAACAAGGCCAAAGGGTATTCATTAGAAAAGTGGGATGCTCTTGATTATGGCAGTTTTGTAAAAGCACTAAAGGACACTCGGGAAAAAATATTGCTTTCCTAAAGCTGAGGACTGAATTACAGGGTTTTAGTAAAATCCATACATTTGTTCCCTTTCTACAAAATCAACCGTCCCTGGCTACACAAACATACCTCCGCCATTGCCTTCGGTTTGTGACATAAGAGATGGACCTGAATAAGTATTGGTTTTTATCTTGACTTAACTTTTTCAGAAAATGTGGGGACAGGCATTGTGATATTTTATTCCTTTGGTACATCTCAACCTTTTAAACCTATGAAATTTTAATATAAGTATATTGTTTTAGCATTTTAACACTACAAAAATCAATTCGTACTTATCACTGAATTCTCCATTCTATTCAAAGACAGCAAAGCTTGAGAAATGACTTTCCTGAATATTCTTCAGAAAGACTGAAAAGCTGCAGAGGTTCAGTAGAACCTGAAGATATCTTAAGGATTTGATGGAATATTCTTTTCTGACGAATTGCAGCCTTTCCACTCTGGGTCTTCACTGCCCCCCTCCCCTTGCAAGTAAACAATCATTCATCTATAAATGGCTTCGCTTATTGAACAGTTCCCCCTATTTCCAAATTTATCATCCAAATAATAACATACTCGTTTTGGAAGAAGTACCCTCCTATTTTTTTATACTGTTCACAATTTTTCTTCACAACTTCCTCAATCTTAGTAACGAGCGATTCAAGTTGTTTTTCCTGAAAGAAAATGATTTTTGTGAAATGTCTG